CTTTGATCCGCCCATATAAATGGAAAAAGATGTGGTTGAATATGGCACACCCTTTGCTTATCAGATAACATAAAAATTTGAACCACGTTAGAAAGAGAGTCCAGTAAAAAAGTAGAACTTGCTGGCAAAACATGTTATTGACGGTTTTGGTTGTTTGCTAACTAATCAATTTCAGTTATGTTTCTCTCACTTATACATTTTTTCCCTTCAGTCCCCTGAAACATAGGAGGAGTGAAGTTTTATCGTGGTATTCCTACCCACCCTTTGGATTATGCCTGCGGAGAAGAAGCTTCCAGTATCAGAGAAGTATCTGATTGAAGATGCATGGAATACGATTTTCTTCTAGTGCATTGAATGAACAACTTGATAATAGTTAATTTATGAATTGATTGTTAAATTCGTTCACAAACAATACAAAATCTGTTAAATGAAAAACAGTATTTAATAATTTTGCCAGCGAAAAGTTTTCATGCAAATTTTTTATTTCATTTCTTTTCCACCGCAAGACAGTATACGTATTGTTGTAGCCACCATTATTTTTTTAAAGTATGGGCAACAAGGGTAATACCAATCCCCAATTTATTATCTTCCTCTTTAATTCTATATGTGTACCACATTTTAGGTAATTTGCTATTCAAAAAACTGAGTTATAACTTTTGGGACCAAAGGACAGCGCACTTTCATCCCATATGCATTTCTAAGGTCATTCAACCCTCCCTTCCAAATAGATACGACGTATTTATGGCTTTTTATAAAACAATAAATATTAGGTAAGAATACATTATCCAGCTGAAGCATGCGCTAGTCATGCCACCGTTCACCCTACTTTAAATAATATTAAGAGGAGCGGGAATTTTGAGACCCAAAAACATTGACCAAAAAATTAGTAAATAATGCCTTTAAAAATGCTCCTTAGGAAACCCAAGAAACTGAAGAAAAATGACATAAAAAAAAATCACTAATTCCAAAAACCAAACCTTCAGTAAGAACCAACCAAGTTGCACAAATTGGATACGGATTAACCTGAATCAAATGGTAATCACGGGTTACATTTTCCTGTTTTGTCAAAATGATAAGGAACCTAGAAGCTTGCAAAAAACTTTTGGCTATTAAGGAACTGATTCTTTAATATTGAAAATTATCTGTTGTTTCTTAAATATCGCGAAATTTAGCAGAAACAGAACAATAAGCCGCCCACACTAAGAAGCGATCAACAAATGAAACCTAATAGATAAAAATTAATAGTAATCTCACAAACGGAACTTCGAGAACTCACCTAACTATATGAGCGCAAAAGAACTATCAAAAAAAGCAACTAAGAAAATTGCTATAATAACAATTTGTTGCAGACTCAAATAAAAAAAAAAGCATAGTATTGCATAAAGGTACCAACCAATTAAAAATGATCATATGTAAAATCCAATAGAAAATCAAGAGAAAAAATTATTCGAAAATGTCAAAGGTAAAAATGACTTATAAATCAAAAAACGACGAAAAATGCAAAAAAAACCAATGACATTTTTAAAAACGGCGTCATGTTCTGTAATCATTCTTGTCATAACATAAATGCAAGTTTCCTATAATTAAACAGCATTATTGAATCCTTAATGTTGAAAAGAAGAAAAAAAACAATGTCATTATCCATTCTAAAATTCGCTTCTTCCTAAAATAATACCAGCACTGTTATAACAGTACAATATCACAGAAATTCTTCTCTAACCTGCTAAAGTTATTGAATACGTAACACCATAGACTTCAACGTGGTCCCCTTGAAACCCCTCCCTTTTCTACACCTCTTCTATTAATTTCCTTTTTTGACTGAGTTGTTTATCAAGAAGTTCTTGTTTTCTTTTATAATCTCAATCAGACTGAGAACTAGAAAGATTCAAAAACAGACAACTCCAATATTAAAAACAAAGAGAGAAAAAAAGGAATATTTATTTACGTCAAAAAAAACAAAAAAATTTTCAATTTTTGACCTAGAAGATATTAACATAAAGAAAATGAGTCACACCTGTCCTTTCTCTTCCTGCTTTCTTCTTCAACTGTTTCTTTTTTGCAGCTAACATAACTCTATATGAATTTATATTTTAATCAACAGCAAAACAAACTACCCTATTAAAAAAAAAGAACAAGTGTCAATTTAGAAAATGATGATCTTAGATAGATAGAACATCTTTTTTTAAGAATGAAACACAACATAAAACATAATTCCAAAAGAACACTCCAAGTAAAGCTATAACTTTTTCAAATGACAACGAAGAAAGGTGATTTAAATTACAGAGTGGAAAGCAGTAAGCAGGAGGAGAACTTTCCAAGATACTTTATGCTATTGAATGAAAAATAAATCAATTACGACCAACGTCAATAATGGTGCAATAATTTGACGAACCAGACAATAATAAACCACCTAATAAATAGCCCAATGGATTTGATAAAGCATAGCTATTGAAATCACTTGAGGAAAAACTGACCAGGAAAATTAATATAGTATCTTGCTAATGAAATATCATTCAAAATAAATTAATCACTAAAAATCAACGGAGCCCAATCTAAAAATAACTAGATATGCATATACAAATCACAAACATATTTTAATTCAAAATAAATGTAACCAAGGTATCAAGAGCCATAAAACTCTTCCTTCTGCTCCTTTATTTTGACTCAAATTAGGGTAAAATTAGAGTAGAAACTAAATGCAATACATTCTTAATGGTTCGGTAAGGGATTGTTAAAATAGCAATGAAAAGAAAAATTATAAAGCCAGATGAAGGATAAAGTATATTGGGCACTATTTATATTTATGTCTAAAGGAAAGAAAACATGACTCTTATATCTAAACAAAAATTTTCCATCTAACCATTTAAAAAAATTTTGAAATGTTTTCTTACATTCCCTATTATTATAAAAAAGGAAGAAGAAAATTTATCATTTACGAGGAAAAAGGAAATTAAATATAACACATTTTAGAAGAGAAATCATCACTATCTTACAAAGCAGAAGAGAGGTATAATGCACCCAGGAATAAGATGAACCGAAAATAAAATAAAAACCATAAACAACCACATAGACTAATACTTTTGATTTATATCAACTCGACACAAAAAAAAACCCAAGCAACATCCCCATTTTTTATGCACTAAATTCCAACAAACAATAAAAAACAAACATATAACACACAAATGTCAAAAATAATATTAAAAGAGAGAAGAATGAACAACAAATAAATCCAAAATTCATCATACATGAACAAGTAAATAACAAAACTATCCAAGAAAATTCAAAAAGAAAATTCAATTTTAAAAGACACAACAAACTCCATCATAAGTATGACATTTCAACTTAGAAAAAACAGAATATCATAAAACTCAATGCAAAAGCAAGGGGATCTGGGCTGTCCGGGTGACGCCGGCGTCGAAGGCGATTGCCGACAAACGTTTCGGACCATTCCTGTCGTCGGTCTTCCTCAGCGCGCTGTATGACCGAACAAAAAGAAAATAAAAATAAAAAAGATCAAAAAATTCATACCAGCCAAACCTGAGGAAGACTCAACGAGAAAAACAAAACAATCGGAATAATCGAAAAAAACCGTCAAAGAACAAGGTAACACTCAGCCATATCGACGCAGCGCACAACGGACAGCCCAGACATCACCCACATGACTCTGAGTACGCGAACCTCGACCTATCACTCAAATATCTTCATATGTAACACACTATCAACACTCCTTGCACATAAAATAATAAATGAACCAAAAGAAAGTCTTGAAAACCATCTTATTCTAAGAATTATAAAAAATCTGTTAATTATAAAGAATTTGTGATTGAAACC